TGTTAGTGAAACTGATCCAGAACACTAAGGACCGTGATCTGTGGAGATGCATAAACACCTACGCCAGCTGGCAAGGCACTTGATGATGATGATGATGATAGACTTTTATATATGAAACTTTTATAAATCTGTACAGGATCATATTATTATTCACAATATATGTAAACAATTGTGCACATGTGTTTAAGAAGAATAACTATAAGATAACTTTAAATGATCGACCTATTTTTTTTAATGTAATTAAAAATGAACCTTCCCACTGTTAAGATAGTTAAGCTGTGGTCAACTTTTTATGTTGTCAAGTCTTGAAAAACAACACTTCTGACTGTATATATTGTTTTAAAAAAAAATTTTGCTTAGTTCTTGAATATGCTTTTTTTTTTATATATATATATCTGCTCATATATACATATATACACACACACACACACACACACATATACATACATACATACATACATACATACATACATACATACATACATACATACATACATACATACATACATACATACATACATACATACATACATACATACATACATACATACATACATACATACATACATACATACACTCAAACACACTTGCACATAAATAACACATGTGTACATGTGTTGGAAGCTGAAATATTTTGGTCATATCAAGCACCACGACGGATTGGAAAAAATAATAGTAGAAGGAAGGAGGGGTTGAACAACACGAAGATGGGCACAGGATATAAGTGACTCTTTGAGCATGAAAGTACATGAGGCAGGGGAGCTGGTGAGAGACCGAGTTTCTTTCAGGCAGACCATAATGAGAGCAACGTTCTGCAAAGGACCTGCTACATGATGGTGATACATGTGTTAGATGGGAAAAGTGAATGAAAAATTTTGAAATTTTCAGTGGATTAAAAGTGTTAGATATAATATACAAACACAAAATAATTTATTTTTTAATGCTTTTACAAAACATATATTTACCATGACATTGCTCTTTTATGTTTATAAGCAAACTGAATTAATAATTCTTTTTCATTCGGTACGTTGTTTTTTTTTTTTTTTTTATATGACCATTTTTCTGCTCCTTGTACCATTGATATATTTTTTTCTTTTCTAAAATAATAAACTCACCCTGTGTTATTCCTTTATACAATCAAAGCAAGCTCAAATTATCAGAACATATTCATAAGCACTAATATACTTGATGAAGTCTTGTTATTTATAAAATAAATATGTCTACTAGTGTTCTGATTATTAAAAAAACAACAGAACAATTTCTAAGTGTGTTGATTGTGTCTCTATCCTAAACTGCACATTGCGCTTTGAATACTGTTTCTGCCATGTATTTAATGTTTCTGGTTCTATTTCAATATACATCTTGTATCAAGTCATACTATGTGGTTCTGAACTTGGACCATAATTTAAATGATGAAAATATAAGCATTCAAGCTGTGATATTTCCAGAAGGTAATAAGAGCCAGCTCAGTTGAAAAAATGTACAACTAAATTAGTTCTGGAAAATATACTAAAGCGAAGAATGTTTGTCAAAGTTAAAAACAATAATAAATGCTTGTCAAAGTTATTAACAAAAATAAAGGCTTCACTGACTGGCTACATTTTAAGACACGAAGTAACACTAAAGAAAAGCACTAATGCTGGGCTAGAGAGGAGGAAGTTGATCAAGAAACAGGCAGATAGACTGGCCGGTTCTGCACCACTTAGTGGTGAACTGAGGTATAACAAGCTGGATGATGTGAGGGCGCTTTGAGAGCGGTAAAAAGACAGATCATTACGGTCTGAGGAAGAATGGCACTGTGGGGAGTTACCAGGTGATCTAGCCGACGCTCAGCACTCACGGGAATGGCAAGACAGATGGATATGCAACCATACAGTTACTGATACCATCGGAATTGGATATCTTCGCTTGCTGCTACAGATGGAGACGGAGTGCTTATGAGAGTGTCCCGTGCGCTGTGATGTTGATTTTTAATTCAACGTCTTCTTCTGTTCACTAGCTGATTTTTTAGGGTAGGGTTTAAGAGTATTATATGGGTGTGTTTCTTTCTAGTGCACTTTGGAAACGAGGTAATTTTATTCAGATTCTTAGAGAGCAAGGGGGTTGGGTGTGAATTTCTGAAAACAAATGCATATGCTAATGAGTTGTGCGACCAGAACATGCTCAATTTCGTTTTTCATTAACTCAAATCATGTGTCTATTTTTTGGTTATCTCATCCCTTCTCTCGGCTCTGTGGCTAAGTAGATGCGAACGCTTCATAATGCCGGGATGCCAGGTTCTATCCCAGCTGCGGGCCATGCGCCTTGCGTTGGTTTTAACAGTGGTATCAAGAAAGCCGACTGTCCAGAAAGCAATGGCAAACTACTGGACGTAAATTTGCCTAGAAAAAACCACACAACGGCCAGAGGCTGTTGGGGTTGGTTCTGCAACGTCCTGTAAAGGATACACAACTAACCAACCATCCCTTCTCTGGACTGCTGGCTACTTTGTAACCTTAGGGTGTCCTAATATAACTGTTATATGATTTTTACATACACCTTCTTTCTTATTTCTTTTCGTATTATAGCCCTTTATATTCATATTTTCATTCCTCTCCCCCATGTACTTCTTGGTTTCATGTTGACCTTGGCTTTTTATTAGCTCTTTTGTCTTGTCTGATGAGTTTCCTGTCACAGTTTGTGCTGTATGAGTACTGCCTTGATAAAGACTTTGGTCAAAACGTTCCGTTGTTATATGCAACAGAGTTTCTGGGATTTGCTAGCAATGCTGGAGGGGAAACAGTGACCAACTGTGGATTGAATTTTTACCTTTGTGGCTCCATTATGGGGAAAACAAGAAAAGACCCACAGCCTCCCTAAAAAGCATGTCGTAACAGTCGAATAACTGGGTGTTTCCTTCAAAGTTGGAGTGCATCCGCCTGAGAGGCAAGGAACCAACAGTATGAACAGTAATACACCAGATCTGTTAAACTGATTTACACACAACACTCGAGTTCTTGAACAAGACTAAAGTCCTGAAGTGATTAACATACCAGCCAGAGTTTACAGTCGGTGAACACAAGAAGAAGAGTATCTATTTTTACAGAACATTTAATGAAGTTACATTGACAGATGAAATGATAGAATGAACACTACACAATTCATATTAATAAGAAATGTATTAGCATGAAAAAGTTCTGTTCCATAAACTTTACACACTTAGAACTGATTACTCAAGACATAAATATAATCTTTAAATGGTTTAATCTGTTAAGTCATCCTTAGTCAGCCCTGGATAGAGCTAAGAGTCACAGACTGAAAAGAGAAAAGTCTTGGATGGTGCAAGCTGAAGACACAATTGGACATGTGTGCAGGCTTGATAAATTTAAGCGAGGAGAGGAGTGGGTCAAAGTGTCTGATCAGGTTTCAGACTTGTGTAGGGTTCTAATCACTTTGGGATGTGAGTGCAGAGACTGGCTAGCTGGTGCTGCAGAATCAGAAGTTCAACAAATGATTCATGAAAATTCCTGCCCAGGTGATGGCTCTGTGTTAAGGGGCAGATGAAGTGCATAGGGGTTCATAGCGAAGGCGAATGGACATCGCTTGGTGCAACAAAGCCTGGCTGTCACTGCTGCCTTCCACTGGCTTGAAAATCAGCAGTACACACATGCCGTCACTGTAACTGACTCACAGAGCATGTTGAGAAAGGTGGAGACAGGCATGCTCCGTGCAGAGTGGCGAGCATCACTTTAAAGGTCCCGGGTAGTTTGCATCCTTTAGATATTTTCTCCGGGTCATGGCCATGTGTTGGGAAATGAACAGGCAGATTCTGCATCACTTGGTGGTCACCTGATGTATGACAAGCTGGGTGTTGTGAGGGCCCTTTGGGAGCGGGTGAACAGTGCCGAGGCACAGACAGATCATTTCGTCTGAGGAGAATGGCACTGCGAGGAGTAACAAGGGGATCTGGCCGACGCTCGACACCCAGGGGAATGGCGAGACAGATTTACAATCAGACGGTTACTGGTACCTTCAAAATTTTAACTTTGCTTGCTGCTAAAGATGGGGATGGAGTGCTTATGGGGGTGTCCCAAGGGCTGTGATGTCGATTCTTAATTCAACATTCAAGTCAACCTAAACATCTGCTGCTTTTCACCTCTCGGTTGAACACAGCCTTTGAATAATGGTACATCATTAACCCATTACAAACTAGCGTGGCCTGTCACGATGAAAAGCAAAGTTATCTCTCTGGAAAAAAGCATTAAGAACTTTCTAGAAATACCAATGACGTTTCATTTTTTTTTTTTCAGTGTAGCTGAACAGGCCAGCATTCTTCCTAAACATAATGAATGTACATAATGGACCAGTCAAACAATTAAGGTTCCGGACGAGAGGATTGGTTCATTGTCCCAGGATTGATTCTATATGGTTCAGTGGCTTGCCACAGAGCGGCTGAATAATGCTGTATCAATAACCCATTAAAAAAAATGTAACCTATTAGGTCACGATGAAAAATAAGGTTTATCTGTCTGAAAAAGACATTAAGAACATTCTAGAAATACCAATGATATTTAGTTTTCTTTCTGTGTAGCTGCAGAGGCCAGCATTCTACCTACACATAATTATTCTATATAATGGACCAATAAACCATTCCAAAGGTTAAGGTTAAAGTTGACAGGATTGACTTCACTGTCCCAGGTTATATTTTATATGGCTCAGTGCCCCTCCCCAGAACAGCTAGTCACCAAGAGTGTCGCAGAAAGCATGAACACAGTGGCTCAGTCGACCATCCCCAGGATCTCTGTAAAAATTGCACTTGTGAATGACAAGATGCAGCCATGAAACAAATCCATGACCTTCAGAGCATGAGGCAAATGGCTTGACCACTTCGCCAGAGGCTCTCCCCCTCCCCCCCCCCCCCCCCAACCCAGGACCAGTCAAAGAGATTTTCTAATGAATGAATATTCCATCCCATGATACAACATACTGTACAGCTGAAAGACATAACCAACATCTAAGCTTCATTCACTGTCAGAGTCTGCATAACTGCTTATTAGAGCTTGCAGCCCTGTGTTGCTGTTATGTAAATTATCAGCAGATGTACTTCTGCTCAGCTCACAATTTCCTGTGAATGACTCTGCAGAAATATCACCTTCTTTAGCCTCATCCGTGGAGTCTGGCTCTTTGCCGCCACTATAGAGAGGTGCAATGTTTAGACCATTGGGTCTGTCTTCTTTCTCAGTAGCCAGAATCTTTATGTCTGTATGTGGGGAAGCTAATGTATTTACTTGTATGCCGGTGATGTTCACAGAGAGATCTAAACACTGTGGTAAAGACTCCGTCACTGTTGTAACAGTATCCAATGTCAATGGAGCTGAAGAAGAAACATCAGAGAAGTGTGTTGGTTCAGGACTACACATAATCCTAGAAGTAGCTTCTTCTTGCAAGGCAGATTTCACAGAAACCTCAGCTTTGACAACATTCTTCTTTTGCACCAACAATGATGGTGTTAATATTCTATTCTTAGAACGCTTCAGTTTGATACCAAGTCGAGAGTGGTCAGTCACCGAGAAAGAATTAGCTAGTTTTCCACCACTTTTTCTCACAGACTGGAAAGGATCATTGTATGTTGCTTGGAGAACTCTGCTAAGTTTGTTTTTCAAATCTCCCTGATTCTGAGTGGCTGGTGGGCGTCTTGAACTTGGTGAAGCTTGAGCTGATGATGGTGGTGACGATACTGAAGTGGATGTTGGTAGTGAGGAAGTTCCTGTGTTAAAGATTGGTCGCTGCTCAATACTCTTTCTTCTGTCCTTCTGTTTATCTTCAAATGCTGGAGAGAGAAAAAAAGAAGCAAGTGTTTCAGTATTGTTTCACATAAATACACACTGTAAGACCAAATTTAACAGAACCAATTTCATTATCATAAATTAAAGAACACTTATATATGAAATAATCTACTTCCTTTTTTAGTGTTCACCGGCTGTAAACTCTGGTGGAAAGTTCTGGTGATTCATCCATTTCTGGCTGTTGGTTCCTTGCCTCTCAAGCAGATGCACTCCAACTTTGAAGGAAAATCCCCTAATCAATCAGTGGCCTTGTATGACATGCTTGTTAGGGAGGCAGTGGGTCTTTTCTTTTTTTTTTTCTCCGTGGAACTTGGCCCTTGGAACCCAGGGGCAAAATCAATTCATACAAGTACAGAAAGTTTCTTTTGAAGACTGACAAAACATAACCAAATGAACCGCTTTTTAATATGTTTTTCCTTTTTTTTAAAACAGAATTGTTCACATTTAGTAAATAAAACAGCTTTACACAAACAGTAATACAAATGGGCAAATAAATCAAGTCAGATGAATTTTAGTCTCAAAGAATTTTTTAAAAACCAGGAAGCAAAAAGAGGGAATCAGAGATCCATTAGAAAAAGATTTCCTGAAACACCTGAACAGAACAGACCAAGTCACAGTTTTTCACTTATGTACTGGACACTGCAGACTGAATAAACACTCATATAAATTAGGTATGAGCCAAACAGCTCTCTGCCAGTGTCTTCGTGCTAAACAGACCCCAGAACATGTCTTGCAAGACTGTCCTCTCCTGGCGGAGCTGCGGAGCAACATATGGCAACACCCAGTAGAACTATCAACTAAGCTTTGGGGAAACCTAAGAGACCTTGAAAAGACATCCCAGTTTATGGCCCACAGTGGATTATGCGCATGACCAGAAATTGCTGAAGAAGAGCTCCACTGCAGCCAACCGTCATTGTGGAGACAGGGCCTAATTGACTGACACATGTATGTTTCATTAATTAATCTGGGGGGAAACTGGATACACTTCACTGAGCACAGGCCCTCAACCAATTCACACCAAGTTGTTCTATGCTCTGCTATTGCATGCAGCTCTTCCCATCTTTTCAACATCACTCTCTAGCTCCCTTCTCCATGTGTTTTTTTTTTGGGTCTTCCTTTATTTCTAAACCCTTGTGGGTTCCAGTGCAAAGACATTCTAGTTATTTTGCTCTCAGGTTTTCTGAATGCGTGTCCCATCCAACGCTGGCGTCCTTTCTTCACCTCTTGGTCTACTGGAACTTGTTTAGTTCTCTCCCAAAGCTCTACATTAGGGATTCTATCATACCATTTAATTCCCACTATTCTGCGCAGGCAACAATTAATGAATGTTTTTTTATTAATAATTGCCTTAATTGTTCTCCATGTTTCTGATCCATATAACAGTACTGATTTGACATTAAAATAAAAAAATGTGTTGTTCAGTATTAGTTTTAATTTCTGTTGACCTCCACAAATTCCCTAGTGTTATGAAAGCTCCTCTTGCGCTTTGTATTCTTATTTTAATATCTCTATCAGTTCCTCCCATCTTCATCTACATTCCTGCCCAAATAGGTGTGTCTACGTCTTGGAGTGGGATCCCATTAACAGAAACCAAATAACTATTTAGTTAGTACCGTAATTACACTCAGCCTGGTGTGACTGGTGGCTATAAGGAAAGAAAAAGAATCAAAACACCGTTATCTACCATGCATAACACAAGAGGAAACCAGGCAGGGTTGGCACGAGACTGGCTATTTATCTCAAAGAATACTTCCACTACAAAATTCAAACAATTATGAATAATTAAGTCTATCCTCTGTGAGTTCCAGCGCCATATTGTAGGGGGAAAATGAAGATCCATTGCCACCTTAACAAGCATATTGTAAAAGGACTAATTAATGGTGTTCCCTTCTAAGTCGAAGTGTTTATGCCTGAGAGGTGAAGGACCAACAGTCTGCAGACAAATGAGCCAAATCTGTAAAACAGATGTGCAGGGAAAGTTCAAGATCTTCTTCTTCTTCTTCTTCGCTGTAAACTCTGGCGGAAAGTTCTGGTTGTTTGTCCACTTCTGGACTGCAGTCCTGTTCCAGAACTTGACTGTTGCATGTGCATCCATTTTACAGACCTGACTTACTTGTATGCAGACTGCTGGTTCCTTGCCTCTCAGGCAGATACAATCCGAATTTGAGGAAGCTTCAAATTAGTCGACTCTTACGACATGCTTTTGGGTAGGCAGTGGGTCTATTCTGGTTTTCCCCACAACAGGGCCCCGGAACCCACACAGTGAAGTTCAAGATCTGAAACAAGACTCAAGTCCAGAAACGGATAAATAACCAATACTTTCTGCTGGAGTTGACAGCCGACGAAAATGAAGAAGAAGATGAATAAGTCTAACAAGTGCTCAGTGTCGGTTGGTTGAGGGCCTGTGTTCCATTGGGTAACTGACAGAAAGAGAGACCTCTGTTACTTTAAATAACATAATAGCAAATACAAAGATCCAAATATCAAAGCATCATAAACTCACATGCTGTTACAGAATATTTCATTAATCCAGCAAGTCTTTTATCTTCCTCTGACTCTTCAACCAGATCAATGTCCAAGGATGCTCTTTCTAGAATTGCTTTATCAGCATCTGCAGCTTCCTTCAGCTGTTTTTTCTCTGCCTGCAACAGTGCAAATTCAACATTGTATAAATCAACTCACATTCATCTGGCCCTTTCAGGAACACAAAGATTTAAAAAGTAATACAAAGAGTTTAGGCATTAACCCTTTCACCCAGAAAACGCTTTTAAAAATGGTAATGAACCAGTTAGGATTCCTTAAAAATGTAAACACAACAATAATTTTCCCACAGTTCACTAATAAATTTGTTTAAAATGTATTTATCAACATTTTAAACTTATTTTTCAAAATACAAAAAATATATGAAAGGAATAATCGGCTCTCCTTTAAATAACGGTCGCTAGCTGGAAGGCGACGGCCGCTTAGTCGGAGTTCACTCCCCTGGCTGCAGTGCAATTACGGAGTGGAAAACAGGGAACGAAACAAATGATATAGTTACGTGTCATGGGGTTAGGATTTGGGGTAGGGTTAGTGGTAAGGTTAGGGTAACACATCACAGAAACGACGGAAGCTTATCGCTCATTACGACATACAGATCCACAGGTCTCACATCTACGGTCACTAAGTTTTGCGTCAGAAGAACACGGTCGCTAATTTGAGTCGCAGCGTGTGGTCTACGAGAGTCTTGCGTCGCAAGACCACGGCCGCTAATGTCAGTCGCAGCACGTGGTCTAGCTCTAACAGGCATGTCGACCTCACTTTGTTTTTTGATTCGTGACTTGTCCGCTCCGTAATTGCACTGCAGCCAGGGGAGTGAACTCCGACTAAGCGGCCATCGACGTCGAACTTCTTCTTCTGCCTTTCTATCCCCCAATGGAGCATAGGCCCTCAACCAACTCACGCCAAGTCGTTCTATCCTTCGCCATTACCTGGAGCTCTCCTCATGTCCTCCCAATCTTTCTAACCTCATTCTCCAGCTCTCTTCTCCATGTGTTTTTTGGCCTTCCTTTATTCCTATGCCCCTGTGGGTTCCAATGCAAAGACATTCTAGTTATGCTGTTCTCCTGTTTTCTCAGTGTGTGCCCTATCCAACGCCAGCGTCTTTTCCTCACCTCCTGATCCACTGAAGCCTGTTTAGTTCTCTCCCAAAGTTCTACATTAGTTATTCTATCATACCATTTTATTCCCTCTATTCTGCGCAGGCACCAGTTAATGAATGTCTGTAATTTATTAGTAATTGCCTTCGTTGTTCTCCATGTTTCCGCCCCATACAATAGTGCTGATTTGACATTAGAATTAAAAATTTTTAGTTTAGTATTTCTTTTAATTTCTTTTGACCTCCACAAATTCCCTAGTGCTATGAAAGCCCCTCTTGCCTTTTGTATTCTTATTTTAATATCTCTATCAGTTCCTCCATCTTTATCTACATTACTGCCCAAATAGGTGTACGACTCCATGTCTTGGAGTGGGGTGCCATTAAGAGAAACCACATTACTATTTGCCTGATTTATTCTCATTATCTTTGTCTTTCCTTTATGGATTTTCAGACCAAGCTGCTGTGATCTCGCATTAAGTATATTTAATTTATCTTGTATCTGATTCCGTGAATGGGACAGAAGGGCAATATCATCAGCGAAGTCCAGATCATCAAGCTGTTTTGTAGTGGTCCACTGAATTCCATTCTTGGTGTTAGCAGTTACTGTTTTCATAGTCCAGTTTATAGCCAGTAAAAATAGAAGAGGCGACAAAAGACATCCCTGTCGCACACCTGTTTTTATTTCAAATGCATCTGTTAGCTTTCCCTCATGAAGAACTCGACATTTCATGTCTTTATATGTTGCCTTTACTAAGTTGATAATTTTCTGTGGGATTCCATAGTGCCCCATCAATTTCCAGAGAGATTCCCTATCAATACTGTCAAATGCTTTTTCATAGTCTATAAATCCAATGTAAAGTGGTGAGTTCAGTTCAATGCTTTGCTCTATTATAATACGTAATGTGGCTATCTGATCAGTACAGGATCTGTTTGAGCGAAAACCTGCCTGCTCATCTCTTAGCATTTTATCAATAGCATCTTTTAATCTTTCCAAAATAATTCTACTTAATATTTTTCCAGGAACTGACAGCAACATAATTCCTCTATAGTTTTCACACTCCTGTAGATCACCTTTTTTGGGCAGTTTCACAAGATATCCTTCTCTCCAGTCTGCTGGTATTTCTTCGGTCTCCCAGACTTTACTGAATAATCTATGTAGCAATTCTGTTGATGTGTTTATGTTGGTCCTGATGGCTTCAGCAGGGATACCATCTGGGCCTGACGCCTTTCCTTCCTTAAGAAGATTTATAGCTTTTCTAATTTCCTCTTTGGATGGTATCTCACAGTTGATATCCAGTTCCATTTCTAAAGGCTGGATATCTGGGGGAACCTCTGGACCTGGTCTATTTAGAAGCATTTCAAAATATTCAACCCATCTGTCCATTTGATCTTTAGTGTTAGTAAGTACCTTTCCTTGACTATTTTTGATTGATCCAACTAGCGACCGTTATTTAAAGGAGAGCCGAATAATCAATAAACAGGTTCCTGGTGTAGGTTCCGGGGCCCCATTGTGGGGAAAACAAGAATAGACCCACTGCCTACCCAAAAGCATGCCGTAAGAGTCGACTAAGTGGGGAGCTTCCTTTTAAGTTGGAATGCATCTGCCTGAGAGGCAAGGAACCAACAGTCTGCATTCAAGTGAATCAGATCTGTAAAACTGATGCACATGCAACACTCAAGTCTTGGAGCAGGACTACAGTTCAGAGCTGGACGAACAACCAGAACTTTCCGACAGAGTGTACAGCTGGTGAACGTGAAGAAGAAGAAGAATAGACCCACTGCCTACCCAAAAGCATGCCGTAAGAGTCGACTAAGTGGGGAGCTTCCTTTTAAGTTGGAATGCATCTGCCTGAGAGGCAAGGAACCAACAGTCTGCATTCAAGTGAATCAGATCTGTAAAAACTGATGCACATGCAACACTCAAGTCTTGGAGCAGGACTACAGTTCAGAGCTGGACGAACAACCAGAACTTTCCGACAGAGTGTACAGCTGGTGAACGTGAAGAAGAAGAAGAATAGACCCACTGCCTACCCAAAAGCATGCCGTAAGAGTCGACTAAGTGGGGAGCTTCCTTTTAAGTTGGAATGCATCTGCCTGAGAGGCAAGGAACCAACAGTCTGCATTCAAGTGAATCAGATCTGTAAAACTGATGCACATGCAACACTCAAGTCTTGGAGCAGGACTACAGTTCAGAGCTGGACGAACAACCAGAACTTTCCGCCAGAGTGTACAGCTGGTGAACGTGAAGAAGAAGAAGAATAGACCCACTGCCTACCCAAAAGCATGCCGTAAGAGTCGACTAAGTGGGGAGCTTCCTTTTAAGTTGGAATGCATCTGCCTGAGAGGCAAGGAACCAACAGTCTGCATTCAAGTGAATCAGATCTGTAAAACTGATGCACATGCAACACTCAAGTCTTGGAGCAGGACTACAGTTCAGAGCTGGACGAACAACCAGAACTTTCCGACAGAGTGTACAGCTGGTGAACGTGAAGAAGAAGAAGAATAGACCCACTGCCTACCCAAAAGCATGCCGTAAGAGTCGACTAAGTGGGGAGCTTCCTTTTAAGTTGGAATGCATCTGCCTGAGAGGCAAGGAACCAACAGTCTGCATTCAAGTGAATCAGATCTGTAAAAACTGATGCACATGCAACACTCAAGTCTTGGAGCAGGACTACAGTTCAGAGCTGGACGAACAACCAGAACTTTCCGCCAGAGTGTACAGCTGGTAAACGTGAAGAAGAAGAAGAATAGACCCACTGCCTACCCAAAAGCATGCCGTAAGAGTCGACTAAGTGGGGAGCTTCCTTTTAAGTTGGAATGCATCTGCCTGAGAGGCAAGGAACCAACAGTCTGCATTCAAGTGAATCAGATCTGTAAAACTGATGCACATGCAACACTCAAGTCTTGGAGCAGGACTACAGTTCAGAGCTGGACGAACAACCAGAACTTTCCGACAGAGTGTACAGCTGGTGAACGTGAAGAAGAAGAAGAATAGACCCACTGCCTACGAAAAAGCATGCCGTAAGAGTCGACTAAGTGGGGAGCTTCCTTTTAAGTTGGAATGCATCTGCCTGAGAGGCAAGGAACCAACAGTCTGCATTCAAGTGAATCAGATCTGTAAAACTGATGCACATGCAACACTCAAGTCTTGGAGCAGGACTACAGTTCAGAGCTGGACGAACAACCAGAACTTTCCGCCAGAGTGTACAGCTGGTGAACGTGAAGAAGAGGAAGAATTAACAGGTACGGGAGGAAACATTGAACTGACTACACCCCCTGTGGCCTAAAAACATACACATATTGGGTGACTCATGCCGTGACCCCCTGACCTCTACCACGGAGGCTTATTAAAAAAATCTGGCATCATTTTGGTTTTTAAAAAGCCATTTTGGACAAAGGACAACCCATCTAAAGGCTATTGTTAGTTAAATCCCCAATATCCTGAACTCCTCAATGTTTGCGCAGACGCAAACTCGCCCAGTTGTATTAATTGTACATCTCATAAGCAGGTCATGATAAGCAAGTTGGAAAAGTGACATTTACGGAAAACAAATGTAGGTTTTATAGGACTCTACAGGCAAAAGTAAAAGGTAAAGGATTCTCATCCTACCACTGGTAGATTGTGCATACGATGCTAGACTCTTAGTTGTATGAAATTATTCAGCAATCGATGGGTGATGTGGTCTTCATTAAGATGCGTCAAGTTACTTCCCAAGAGGTGTCCTGGTACCTGCTCTAGGCTGTATCAACATGGGCAAAAAGGTCTTCTTCTTCTTCTTCGCATTTACAGGTTGTTAACTCTGGCAGAAAGCTCTGGGTGTTTGTCCACCTCCAAACTTTGGCCTTGTTCTAGAACCTGAGTGCTGTGTGCACATCCGTTTCACAGATCTGGCTTATCTGTAGGCAGACTCTTAGTTCCTTGCCTCTCAGGCAGATGTACTCTTACTTCAATGGATCACCCCCCCCCCCTCCTCAACCCCACCACTTTGTCGACTCCTCTGACATTCTTACTGGAGTGGTAGGGGATCTGTTCTTGTCTTTCCCATAATGGGGCCCTATGAGGGGAAGAGAAAATGTCAATTTTGTTTCTTCAAATGTGCCCAGTCTGGGTTAGAAGATACTGTATACTAACATTTTATAATTAGATACTTACTCTAAACTTATCTCTGGCTATGCGATTGAGGATGTAATCATCCAGCATGGACATTCTGCTTTCTTCAATCTGTGCCAAACTCATCACCTTTGCCTTTCCCTTCTGCTGGTCGTCCGTCCCATGCTCCAGTTTGTACATTGGGTCTGTCGCCAGCTTTTTCTGTGTGGCTTTATCTAAGCATAGAAAAGTCAAATAGCTCACAATTTGTTACTCATTTTAAATGAAATTACATGGTAAATGAAAGTGTGAATAAACAACAATCTTTTCCTTCTGCTCTTCATTCCATATGGAGTACAGAAATTCTGAAAACTTGTGCCAAGCTCTGTGTATAATTATTCAGGATTAGCTGAAGATCACAAATAAAGTTCCCTATGGGATCATGTAGGTAGTCTCATGTCAATCCTCTGATATGTGTAATAAACTGCAGTGTTACTACTATTTGTCCTCTCTCTTACGAGCCGTGGTAACACAAGTCAGATCCAAACATTTCTGCTTTTATTTTTAACATGTCAGTTTTTGGTTGGTCGTTCTCTTTTTAATTCAGTATCTGGCCACTAGAAGAATCAGGTCGGGGCATCAAATGTCAAATGTCTGCTATCTTCAAAAAATATCTTTGAGACATGACATATTTTTGTTAACTATCCACCGCCAGTCTTCTTTGTTCACCGCTATAAGCTCCAGTGGAAAGTCTTGGTTGTTTGTCCATTTAGACACTGGCTTTGTGCCACGGCCTGTCTTGCATGTTCATCCGTTTTACTGGCTTATCTGTGTGCACTTGGGTGTTCCTTGCCACTCAGGCAGATGCACTCCGATTTCAAACGAAGTCCCCAGTTAGTTGACTTCTATGACATGCTTACTTGTTTCCCCCACCAGCCATTTTAACCATGTCTCCCCAAGAAGCCATAAAATGACACTTCCCACTGGGTCCAATCCCCTTAAAAGTCACTTTACCGACTTGCTATAGTGATGTGTGTGTTCGACATTATTACTGAACCACCAAGCAAACAAGAAATCCTTTAAGCTATCCACACTTTAAAGAACAACAAAGCACCAGGCAAAGACGAACTGCCAGCAGAACTTCTCAAAGTAGATCCCAACACAACTGCTAGCATTCTAGAACCATTGTTCAAGGATATTTGGGAAAAAGAAGTGTTGCCTGATGACTGGACTGAAGGAACAATAGTCAAAATCCCCAAAAAATGAGACTTAACAGACTGCAATAATTGGAGGGGAATTATTCTACTCTCAGTACCAAGCAAAATATTTTGTAAAATCATCATAATGCGGCTTGAAAAAGGAGTAGACAAATGCCTACGAGTAGAACAAGCAGGATTCAGAAAGGGCAGAGGAACAACTGAGCACATCTTCGCCATACGTAACATTTTAGAAAAATGCAACGAATGGCAGAGAAGTATATATATTAATTTTGTGGACTTTGAGAAAGCTTTTGACAGCATCCATAGAGACGGTCTGTGGAAAATTTTACGACATTATGGAATTCCAGAAAAAATAGTCAACATAATTGCTCTCTTCTATAAAGACTTTTCCTGCAGTATAAAAAATTACAATACATCTTTCCCAGTAAAGACGGGTGTAAGACAGGGATGTGTTATGTCATCCCTCCTCTTCAACCTTGTGATTGATTGGATACTAAAGAACACAGTAGACAGGACATTAAGAGGCATACGATGGACTCCATTCACCATGCTTGAGGACCTTGATTTTGCAGATGATATAGCACTCCTATCACATAAACATGAACATATACAAGAGAAAAGTATCAAACTAAACTGCACAGCAGAAATGGTGGGACTGAGAATAAATACAAAGAAAACTAAGATCATGACAAACAGTCCAAACCAACAACCAGTGACCATAAGTAACCAATCACTTGAAAATGTAGAACATTTCACATATCTTGGCAGTGTGGTGTCCCTACTGGGAGGGACAGAGGAAGACATACAGTCACGTCTGAACAAAGCTAGAGCTGCTTTTGGAAGGATGAGGCAAATCTGGAAATCCAACAATTACTGCAGAGGAACGAAACTCTGACTCTACAAGAGCATCATTTTGCCAGTTCTTCTTTATGGAGCGGAATGCTGGAGAATGACCAAAAAGGATGCACACAAGCTGTCTACCTTCCACCACACATGTCTACGTAGAATTATCAAAATTTTCTGGCCAGATACAATCTCAAACACTAAACTACTTCAAGCCACAAACCAAGAAACTTTAGACAGTATGATTACCAAGAGAAGATGGAAATGACTTGGCCCTGTTATGAGAATGACTTCTGATATACCTGCCAAAACAGCTCTCACATGGACACCAGAGGGAAAGAGAAAACAGGGGCGCCCAAAAACAACATGGAGACAAACGATGGAAAGTGACCTGAGTGCGGCATCTTTGACATGGAAAACTGCACTGAAGATTGCACAGGACAGGAAAGCATGGAAAGTCCTCTCTGAAGCCTCATGTGCCACTAGGCATAACGAGAACTGATGACTGATGATAGTGATGTGTTCACAAGAAGCAAAGCTACCAGCATTGATAACATAGGTGCATGTGCAAACATTCAGGACTAAAACTGATTTTATTTATTGAAAATAGCCCTTAATGGGTGTTTCCTTGTGAAGAGATATTTTTAACAGAAATTATGATGTGACAACTGCCCACTGGTCAACTTGGTTCTCTGGGGACCAGGTTAAAAGTCAAGTGTATATCACTGTCTAAATGGCTTTAAAAGTCAAAGATAGGTAAGTCAGTTAATTCTCTGTTGCATTATCATTTACTTAATACTCCTCTTATTCTGTATAGAAATTAATATTGTTTTGGTCAAAAATGGAACTGTCATCATTTCTCTTGTCACCTGTTATAATATCATCATCATCAGGTGCCTTGCCGACTGGCGTGGGCGATCATGCCTCTCCATAATCCGCGATCTCCTGCAGCATGTATCAGTTCGTGTGCCGACACACCTCCATGCCATGCAACAAGACTGTCAAGCATCTTCTCTCGTTGTCTTCCTCTATCCCTCCTTCCACAGATCTATCCAGTGGTCACAACATGTTCTATTTTCCCTCTTCTCATAACATGGCCGAAAAATGATGACTGTCTCCTTCTGATGTCAGTGATAAGTTGTCTTCGGGCTACCGCCTCTTTTAAAACCTCTTGGTTGCTCTTTTTGGCTGTCCAAGGTATTCTAAGCATTCTTCTGTAAAACCACATCTCTGAGGCCTCTAAAAATTGTTTGGCCTGCCTACCGATTGTCCAGGATTCACATCCATATGTTAAAACTGGATGTATGTAGCAAGCAAGAATTCTTTTTCTAACTCTCAATGACAAGGATATACTGCACAAGATGTTTTTTATTTTATAAAATGCAGTTTTTGCCTGTCCAATACTGTTTCTTATTTCAGTTATGCATCTTCCATCTGATGTTATCCATGTGCCCAGATACTTAAATTTCTTTACTTGTCTTAAAATAACACCATTGACTTTTATTACACATTTAGGAATAATTTGTTTCTTTGATACCACCATTACTTCTGTCTTCCCATTATTCAAACTGAGGCCCATTCTTCCACTTTCTAACACCACAATGTCTATCATTTCCTGTAATTCTTTCTGACTTGTTGCTATCAAGACTGTGTCATCAGCATAACGTAAATTGTTTATATTGTGCCCACCAACCACGATTCCGGGCATATCAATTAAAGATCTCACAATATATTCACTGTATATTGAAAACAAATCAGGTGAAAGTACACATCCTTGTCGTACGCCCCTCTTTATGCTTTGAAATGTACCTAAACAGTTGTTAATTCTTATAGCTGCTGTTTGCTGCCAATACATATTCTTTATTATTCTTAGATCTTTCCCATCAATGTTTAATTTTTCTAACAGTTTGATTACTTCTTCATGCTTTACACATAATATATAATATATATAATATATTCCTTTTTAAAGAAATTTTTTTCAGAAATGTTCTAAATACAAGCTTCATTTTCTCTAGGTCACCGGGGCGAAGGGGTAATCCTCATTTTACTTAAACTATGCAACTTTGTATTTTATGCGCATAACTTTTTTCAGTGACACGTTATATTAACAATAAAACCAAGCCCATCTATTCCTAGTCACCTAAAAACTCCATGAGCCTCCATTTATTATATACATTCTAAGCTAACGGTGACATCCATGGCTTTCAGGCCATGAAAACAGTTTAACAATCCAGCACAAAGTTGATAGGCAATTCGGTAGCAGACTCTTTCCTTTGACAAACAGTATGCGTGTTATACAACTTAGAAAGGAATGGAAAAACTACTGAGTTTAAACGTGCCTAGACAAACCACAAAATAGCAAATAAATGGGGTGGGGGGGGGGGGGGGGAGATGCATCAAGAATCAACATGTCTGCACTTGGGACATTCCCACACCGGCTCCATTTCCTCTTTCTTAGTAGCTGACATAGAGTTGTCATCCTAAGAGTACCAGTTGTAACCTAATTAAGTCTGCCTGTGTTTCCCTCTCAGGGTTGAATTTCTTCCAAAACCTTACCCCCCCCCCCCCTCCCCCTCCTACCACATTAAATTAGTCTGTCAATGTTGGGTTTCTCTGTCTGTTACACTGCACTGTCTGTTTGTTCCCACAGAGCCTTCACATTGTCTGCTTTGTAATAAACTGAACCGAACTGTCTTCTTCTACTTCTGCGTTCTTCCAAAGATGTAACTCTGTTGTGTCCGTTTACAGCATGGCTGCGATATTTGCCAACACATCCGACTTCTGCAGGAATTTACTGACTGGGTTAGCCATCCTGGTTAGTTTCGTAGGACATTGCAGTTTCGCTGTTGTGGGTCATCTTTACTTCCTAGGTCCCAGGTGGTGCCCCACATCTGGCCAGTCCAGTGAAGACATGTAATGCTGATCAGCCCTCAAGAGAAGGCAAGGGCAGAACATGAGCATTCCCCACCATCTAAGAAGGCTTCCATAAATGCAGAGCTAATACATGGTGCTCTGGTACTGGGCTCACCCAAGGAATCATCACATCCTGCTCATGACTGTTTAACCTCACTTCCATACATTGAACCTCTCATTTATCATGAGCTATGTTAAGTAGCCAACAGCAGAACTGGGATGACAATTACTTACACAAAATGAGTACTTTGCTTCTTTGACCTGATCTATCTAATTGCAGGGAAAATCAAATGAGTAGAATATAAAAATCAACACTTTAAAAGTTTATTAAACCACTGATTATCAATGTTAGGCTATCCTCCGAATAACGGTCCTAAATTATTGAGGCGGAAAATATACCCTAACAGGGCCTCAGTCACGTGTCAATAGGCAATTGCGCACTTCGGGGACTATAACGCCACCGCCGATTTGCGAACTTCCGGCAACTTCCGCCACCGCCGAGAGTATCCCCCACGCCGCTACTCGGCGTGGAGAGGGTCTAAACTAGATGGCTAGGACTCACGAGCAAATAAAATGAAGGAAGCTGCAGGAAATGTGGTAGCTGCTGCTCGCGAGTCCTAGCCATCTAGTTTAGCCCCAATCCACACCGCATGAGCGGCGTGGGGGATACTCTCGGCGGTAGCGGAAGTCGCCGGTAGTGCGCAATTTAAGATGACAGAAGTGCGCAATTGACAAAAGTGACTGAGGCCCTGTTAGGGTATATTTTCCGCCTCGATAATTTAGGACCGTTATTCGGAGGATAGCCCAATGTTATTCTATTGAAAGACAATAAACACGCCAATATTTACCTTCCGGCACCACCTGCTCATTTGCAACAGGATCCCACCTTTGCTCTTTTCTTCTGGCTCCAGACAAGATGACATAGTCATGATTCTGCAATTTCAAAAACAAAATATGTCAGATTTTTTTTTCAACTTCACTGTGGGTGAGAAAATTTCTACATAAAATCAGCGAGAGTCAATTTAAACAACAATGCATTTAAATTAATGTTAATGCAAAAATTAATAAAAGTAACATTAACATAAAATGGTCTTTAAAAAAATACCTTCCCTGAAGCATGCAAAGTAAAAATTAATACAGAGGGATACCTAAAGAGACAGGAAGAGGTGAATTTGGAACAATTTGGGGGTGGGGTGGAAGGGGGGGGGGGGTAATATTGGGTAATTTTGTTTTAATCCTTGATTAAAGAATGCCCTCAAATAACTCAATTCAAACCATCCTTTTTGCCATTTCCTGCAACTCTCTCCCATGTCCTCCCCATATTTTTTATCTCTGTTTCCCTTTTCACGCGTGTTAAGGTGCCCCTCATTTTCATTTGTCTTGCAGGTTCCGGAAGAAGTTCTTTAATGACTGTGCTGTAAGGGATTGAATATATATTTGTTAATGTTTTTGTTTTAAACAGTAACATCAAGAAGATTACTGCCCCCGGGTTTTATCCCATCTAGCTGTTCTTCTCTGCCTGAAATAAGTTGTCTATATCAGTAATTTTGTCTCTCGTATAAATGTCAATGTCGTTTTTAGTTCATTCAGTGGTCCATAGAGCTGATTAAAACATATTTCTATGAGATGTGTGTGTGGAATCCTGATTACTGTGGTGCACCTCCTGGCTGGTTACCTCCGACTTTAGCACCTTCTTTTGCTAGGGTGGACTATGATTATACTTGAGCAGCCATCTGGTTTTACAGCGCCAAATACTCGCTGACGCTTCTCCTGTTGGTTTAAACAGTTCCGCCACAAGAAGGCCAGGAGTTTGACTTTTGTTGTCACATGTGATGAATGCACATGCTTAAGGGGTATTTGGTGAGAGCTCATCCTCCACCCCCGTCCCCCAGCTAGGAAAGCAAATGAAAAACCTGGCTTGTCTCTCAGGAGAATGGCTAGCCACCTGCGGAGTGCATCGCACAAAGCACAAACACCTAGCTCTGGCAATGATCCCCAGGGATCTCTGTAAAAACTGCACTTGTGAACTGAACGACACCACCAGGAAATAAACCCAGAACGTGAGGCAAACAGTAGACTCAATCTACTGGACTGATGCCAGTGCAAACAATTTCTTCCCAATCTGATGTCAAAGTACAATCTCAATGCAAACAATTTCTTCCCAATCTGATGTCAAAGTACAATCTCAGTGCAAACAATTTCTTCCCAATCTGATGTCAAAGTACAATCTCAGTGCAAACAATTTCTTCCCAATCTGATGTCAAAGTACAATCTCAATGCAAACAATTTCTTCCCAATCTGATGTCAATCTCAAAGGAAGCTGCTGCATTGCTCTCGTTCCCTTCTCCAGCGCAGTGCAAGACCGCTGCTGGAACTTCCTATCTGCACAGTTGCATACTAATAATGTTGTAAGTGAAAATATGGATAAATAACATTTTTTTAAAATATAAGGTTAGTTGTGTATCCTTTACAGGACGTTGCAGAACCAACCCCAGCATCCCCTGGCTGTTGTGTGGTTTCTCTAGGCAAATTTAAGTCCAGTAGTTTGCCATTGCTTTCTGGACAGTCAGCCCCCTGCACCCCGGCGCGTTCGCATCGACTTAGCCACAGAGCCGACTTTTTTAATATATATAAACCTATTTAACTACACAAATGTAGCACTGTCAAGGTCTCATCTCCTGACCTGAGGGCCCCATTCTGGGAATTTTTTTTTTTGGGGGGGGGGGGGGGTTGTTATCCCACTGCTCCCTAACAAACATGACATTTTCGTAAAAGGTGACTAAGGATTTTGTGAAATTAGATATGTTGAGCCAAAAGGCACAGAGGTCACAGCCTAACTGTAAATCAAATCATAACATGTCAATGCCCTTTCAAGAGCAAACACAGAAAAAGAAGATGAGGCAACAAGTATTTACATATTAGACAGATATATGAAGCTATTTGATTAAGAATTATAAGATAATCAAAAGTAAAATTCACTATCAACACTCACCTTGGGATCTGTCTGTATTTCAAAATAATTGTCGCACAGATGGCATTTCATCCGGAACTTATAAATTGGAGTGCTGTAATAGTTCCCCACTTTTGATTTCTCAGCATTGTAACGGACACCCATGCCAATATGGCTACCACATCCACCACACCAAATATTATATGGTAACTCAAATCTAAAATATAAAAAGAAAGACATGTAAGAAGTCACTTATGGGAAATGTTCAAATGTTTTCTAAAGCTCCTTTTGTAAGCATGCAAAAATTTGATTTTAAAGAAGATAATTTCACTGCTGTCTGTTATGCAGTTAAACAGCTTTCCCATAAGAAATAGTAACTGCAAAAAGATCTGAAAGGCTGTGAAATAATGACTTCTATTACACTATATAAATTGAAATATTTTGGTCACTTGAAACGTCATGGAAGTCTAGAGAGAACAATAATGGAGGGGTATATGCCTGGGAAGAGAGGAAGAGGAAGGCCAAGGAGAAGATGGGTGCAGGATGTGGCAGATGATCTCCAGATGGGTGTATCAGACGCAGGACATCTTGCTCAGGATAGGAAGGTTTTCCGGAGGGTTCGTATGGCAGCGAGGTTCCGCGAGGGACATGCTACTGAATGAATGAATGAATTACACTATTTTACTTTATGATATGAGGTGTGCAGCTCCTCTGCACACTATTTATTTTCTTCATCATGGCTTGTTATTGCTTATGAAATTCTCTAGAGGGCTGTAAGTTTTAACTCTCAAATCCAGTGCCCTGATATCCAGTTTGTGCCTTGAAAAAGTCCTGCATTTGTCCTAGTGAGGTTAATGTAAAGACTTGTCTCCTGACCTAGTACTAAAGTCCCATCTCCATGACGACTGTATTGCAAAGCTTGATTTCCTTCATCCGAGTTCAGAAACCAGTAGAGTGTGATGGATCAGTAGCAAAACTTCACAACTGTGAAAAGGTATATTACAATGTAATAAGCAGGGGTGCCAGAACCTGGGAGTTTAGGTTTAGTTTTTGTTTGAGAAGCCAGCTGCATGATCCAGGAAAACTATCCCAGTCGCTTACACAGATGGATCAGCAACCTGTGCAATTAAAAATGTGGATGCTGGTGTCTTTATCACATACCCAGACAATGCAGCCAAACAAAGAATATACCCACCTGTAAATTCTGTTCCAACTACACAGCAGAGATCCTAGCACTAGAGCAGGTTGCTGAAAAGTTACACAACACCAGTACTGACTGTCACACAAGTGGTCATCTTCACGATATGCTATCAGTGCTCTAAGCACTCAAGAGTGATCTTTACCTGAGATCTGAACTTTGAAAAATAGCTGTCCAAAAGTACTCCAGTGGGTGCCATCCCAGGAAACAAAACCACAGATAAACTTGCTAAGAAAAGGGCAGAATGTGAACAGGAAGAGAATGCAGTAACATATTATGAGAAGAAAAGGGCCATCAGGTCTATCAGAAGTGAACAGAGTCTGGTCAAAGATGACTACCACTTACTTAACTGTCATGGACAGGTCATTATTCTACGCCTTAGGATAGGACATAACAAACTTAGCAAGCATAAGCACAGGCCTTGTCTAAGTAATTCACCAGTGTGACCATGTGGGTCGTGTGTGCAGACTACAGAACATGTGCCGCAAGAATCTCCTATGCTCAGCCCATTAAGAAGGAAATACTGGCCCAATGAGTCAACACTGCCCTCAAAGTTGTATGGAACTAAAAAAGAAATCCTAAAAACTGTCAAGTTATCACAAGAATGTGTCTGTCTGTGTAAATCAGAAAGCAAACAAAAGAAGAAGCAGCAGCAGTCATGATTCAAAACAGCAAACATTTGAGATAACTGTAAACTTTATATAAATGGCCAGGGCTTTCGCTTAGAGAAAACTGTGCCAGTACTCATGACAGTGTCTAAGAAAAAAGTACCAGTTGGTACTTACCACCACATTTCTGTTACAACAGTGCTGAAACAAAAATGCCTAAAGAAGGGATGCCAGCACTGTGTACACCTTCAGAAAAACAGCCCTGTTAACTAACAGTTAACCTAACTCTAAAGATGGCAATTATGGAATACTATTGCCTTGAAATTACATTCCCATTGCAGTTTTTTCTTTTAGTCTAGAAAACAACTGAGAAGTGCCTGTTTACCTGATCACCAGAATGCCCTGGCTAAGTTTCTTGGCTCTGTCTCTCAAGGGATGCTGGCCCACTCGCTTGTTAGCTGAGCCCTTTCTTGGATCCCAGTCTGGTGGGTAATATTTATTCACTGCTTTTCTTTCAGCCTGCAGACATTTTGGAAAACGGGAATTAAAGAGTAAAATTATGTTTGGGTATTACAAACAGAAACACAACTGTTCACAAACAGACTTTTGGGAACATAAGAGAAAGCTTAAGGGGTCACTACACGGCATTTTTTCTAATTTATGACAAAAATATCACTTTTTCAATGTGTTCGTTTTTGTAAAGTTCGGCATTTGTAGAATAGATGACACACAAAATTAATGTCATTTGTAAACAATTTAGCATAGAAAAGTTAATACTAACGACACCACCTCGTGCAGTTTTTTAAGATAAAAAAAGTTTAAAAGTCAGTTTTCTCAAATCTCTATATTTCAGTTTGCTGTGTGTGTGAAATCCTAAAATCTAAGCTAATATAAAGAGTAGAAACATGAAATTTTGTATGCATACTCCGTAAACAATATTATAGGGACTGGTCTATCTAAAACTAGATTTTAGAAAGTTTTTGTTTTTTTTAAATTTGATTATTGTCTTATGATGCTAGATTTCTTTGACTTTTTCAATAAACCTTCATTTTAAAATTCTACGAAAAATATTTAAAAACATGATTAAAGTAAATAAGCTAGACCTGTACCTCTAAATAGAATAAAAGGTCATGAATCCATCATCTATTGGTGAATACCTATGTTTGTTTTTAAAATTTCAGGATTCTAAGTACATATTGTTTTTTTCACAAGATGGCGGCTATTGCCATGACAACTATGTTTATTTTAACACTTAAAGTATACAAATGTAATAAAATGTATCCCTACAAATGACCATTATAAAATAACTGCTCTAACTCTGTAAATAAAAAAAATAAAATTTTTTGGTGTAGTGACCCCTTAAATACATCAGATGTTTTTAAATACACCTTTTAGCACACCAGAACTCTCTCTCTCTCACACACACACACACACATGCTCATTTACACAGACACACTGAATAGTCTAATTAAACAACAGTGATATTCCCATCAAATCTACGATGCCTAGCAGTGCAAATCTAATATTGACTAAACAAGATAAATAAACAGTATACTCCCAATTAACTGCAACAATGCAAAAATGTATGTGTTGTCCTGTTAATAATGATTAGAGCTCTATAAATGGTCACTGCATTTAAATTTACCTTAAAAAATAATCAGAATACATAAATAAACAAAAATTCTGGCTCTCCTTTGAACTTCTACCCCGGCAATATGGGGGCCAAACAAATATTTAACAGGGCCTCAGTCCTGAAAAATGCAGACTTGTCGGACTTCCAGCCGAGGAACAAATCATGGCAAAACTAGGATCCGCTGAATAACTAAACAAATGCTCTAGCAGGGTCTCAGCGATGTGTTTATAGTGAACCTGTTTCTGTGACTACGCCTCACCGCCGACAGTATCCCCCGCGCCGCAGATGGGGGGGGAGGGGGGGGGCGCTGAACTAGATGGCTGGGACTCACGAGCAGCAGCTACCGCATATCCTGCAACTTCCTCCAATTTATTTGCTCCTGAGTCCCAGGCATCTAGTTTAGCCGCCATCTGCGCCGCGCGTAGCGGTGCAGGAGATACTGTCGGCGGTGAGCTCGATCGAAGAGCCAGTAAAACATCATCATGACTATGTTCTCAGTTGATATGTTGCAGCTGGCAAAGAACAAGCCAGCGCACACGCTACAGCTGCTGTAGTGAGAAAACACACAAGAGAAGGCACAAGTGAATTTCACTGTGAAATATTTCGGCCAAAGTTATGGACATAAATGGAGAGCGAGAAGCAACAACAAAATTCGTAATCTGTTTAAATCACCACTGATCACTTGCATCATGAGAGCTAATAGACTGAAATTGTTGGTGCATAAGGAAACAATGTCAGATGACAGAGAAGTAAAAACTGTATACACCAGGGAGACGAATGGTCATAGACCACGAGGGAGACCAAAAAGACGATGAAGAGATAATATCCAGACAGACCTGCAAACACTTGGTGTTACCAACTGGAAAGAGAAGACTAACCAGAGAGATGAATGTAGGGGGGGTTATTATCTGCAGCAGTGAACCTCAAGGGCTTGGATGCTGAAGAAGAAGAAATTTAGGCTCTCCTCCGAACTTCTACTCCCGCATTATGGCGGCCTGAAATATCCGTTCGGGGTTCAGTCCAATAAAAAATGCGGACTTTCTGCCAAGGAACAAATCACGGCAAAACTAGGATTACTTGACAATTTCAAGAGATGCAACACTGCAGACGATAAGCGCGACCGGTGACAATGTCGAGCGTTTCTGCAGACGCCAGACGATAAAAGCGGCCGTTGACAATTTCGAGACATTACAGACGATGAAAGCGATATGGCGGGTAGACCACGCGCTCCCACGCAGATTAGCAATACTGTTCTTCCGATTGAGGATTTAGCAGCGGTAGATGTCAGACTTGTCAGCATGCGCAAAACAAGATTAAACTCACCACCGAGAGTATCCTCCGTGCCGCTACGCACCACGCGGATGGGGGGTAAATTAGGTGCCTGGGACTAACGAGCGAAGTAAATGGCGGAAGTTGCAGGAGATGCGGTAGCTGCTGCTCGTGAGTCCCAGCCATCTAGTTTAGCCCCTATCCCCAGCGGTGCGGGGGATACTTTTCGGCGGTGAGGCACAGTCACAGAAACAGGTCTGCAAGTAACATATCGCTGAGACCCTGTTAAAGCATTTGTTTCATTTTCCCGAACCGATCATAGATTTGCCGCGGTTTGTTCGTCAGCAGAAAATCCGAGTCCCCATTTTACATTTTTGTTCCTCTGCAGAAAGTCCGACAATGGAAAGTGTCAACGGTCGCTATTATTGTCTGCTACCATCGTCTGCAGTGTTAGGTC